ATAATAATTTTTGAATACAATACTTACGAGATTTAGTTTTATTATTGAATTGATAGAAAAGTTTGCTGTCTTTATAAATACTAAAACCCGAGAAAAACTCTTTCTTAGGGTTTAAGGTGTAATTACAGCGGAGATCAAAGTTAACAGGGTGTTTTGATGTCTGGGTGGCTTTGAACGTAAGGTTAGCACAGTTGACACCTCTGATAACAAGCACATTTGCCACATATACTAGGAATATGATGTTTATGGTTGATATGTAGGTCATAATTATTCATATATTAATTTGTGACACTTGTTTTATTAAAGTTTTTATTTAAATTTATTACTATTGATAGCATCAACAACAAATTAATGATAATGATCAAGGTACTGGTATAAGAATTTGAATTTCTGCCAACATATATATGCTCCAAATCACTGTTTTTATTATTCATGTTTAAAATGTTTTTGTGTATACATGGGGTGATTAAATAACATTAAGTTTCGATTGCATAATACATATGAAATAACATGACTCTTATGTTATTATCAAACTTTGAATACATTTATAGCCGTTTGAAGTCTTTGTTTTAATGTTATTTTGTTATATTTATCAAACGATAAGCTGAATCACACCACTTATTGTGTATCATATCACAATAGTCTATAATTGTATATTAATTAGTACTGCACTATAATTATTCACTATTTAATAAAGTAATTATATTAAAAATAAATGTAGAATTTGAGAAAAACAATTTATATAAGTGAAATTAACTTTATTTAAGTGAACATAACTGTTATATTTACCTAAAAGTATACATTCCAATAGTCGACTGGTTAAACATTTCTTGATAATAAGTTTTAATTAATAAAATTTAAATCATTTTAAAAGAATTATTTTTGAAAAATATTTAATTAGTAGATCAGTTGCTAATCACATGTCATTGAAAATAAAAAATTATATATAGATGATATGTAAATAAATATTATGTTTTCATAATTGGATAATAATTATGATGTATAATTATTTAATTTATTATATAGATGATCATGATAAATTAATTTTAAATGTGTGATCTCCCTGATCAGATCGGGAATAGTGTTTCTATCCCTACGACTAAATCCAAACACAATCCTGTGTTCAATGAAAAACAATTCAATCAATGAATTCAATAAATTTAGAAATTTTCCGCTCGCTTTGCAAGCATCAGGGTATTTAAGTTGCAGGTATCGTTTCAGTAAATGCATGTAAATTTTTTGTTCCATCCTGGTCACATTTAATAATATTTTCATATTTAGGTCATATTTTATTTGGTTTAGTTATACACTAACTTGATTGTATCAACATTCTCGAGCCCGGCGTTATCAGGGTTAAATAATACAATAGCGGTCATCTATGAATAATATTAAAATTATCTAGACAATGTCTAATAAATGTATCACTTATAGCTCACCAGGTCAAGTATATTTTGGTCCGAGTCAATCTCGTGTTTTAATTTTGTGAGATACTCTTTAAATCTAGAGTAAACTATAGTACTATTGCGACTGTATCTCATTGTATCCAGCTTAATCTGGAAAACTTTCCCATTATTCTGTAGATAATTCAAGTAATACAATATTTATAAATTTAAATATATCATTTAGAGTAATCATCTTAAATTATAATTATTACAATTAATAATTAAATTATAATTATTACAATTAATAATTAAATTATAATTATTACAATTAATAATTAAATTATAATTATTACAATTAATAATTAAATTATAATTATTACAATTAATAATTACTGACCAGGTCCATATACCAACATCCATCATCGGGATTATAATAAGATACTGATCTCATAGCAAATAACTGAATGCTCGAGTTCTTGATTAGGTGAATACGATCATGGTCAGATATGTTATTAAAACTGACCAGTCTCTTTGAGAAATGGACCACATTTGTGATTTCCTGAACGCATTTAGTATCGGCGGTCATAATGGTTTCATCAGTAGTCTTGGGTATGACTGTAGGCGCCGTCAGTACATTCCTGAGCAGTTTGGTTGCCGTAAATAATTCATTCAAACGACTCATTTCCAACTCATTAAATGTTTGTCGCCTTTCATTGATAGGCATTGCGATGGGAATCACCGATAACTCCAACTCCACGGCCCGTTCATAGATTTTGGAAAATATATTTGATAGGCCCTGCTCAAATTTACGGTATTGACATTGAAAATGGTCATCAGTTATAGCTAGACGACGAGATTGATTATCTTGTTGAACGTCTGGAGTGGTTGATGACACTAGTGTGCTATCATTGGTGGTGCAACAGTCCTCCAGATCACGTTTGATCTTGTTGAATTCAATTTTTAATTTGCGGCACTTTTTAGCCTCGTCATCCCATATAAAGTCCTAAAATATATGATTGATTCTACTTTAAATCTAATAATTACTATTTTATATATGACATACCTTTCTCATGCCTACGGCAACGCATTTATTTAGTCGACAAAAAGCACATAGTCGTCGCCTGTCTATGTTTATCACACAATTACCCTGGTATCTGCACCGAGTAAATTCCTGTTTAAAAATTAGATAATGTATTAATATGTAACTTAAATTAGTTCAGGGTGTCTATAAGAATATACTTGAATTTTGATCAGGAAAATTGGTATTTAATATATTAATTGGTAGTCACCTAACTGAATAATTATAAATAACTAGTACATGGGTCATTATTATAAATAATTTGTTCAGTAATGCAATATTCATTGCTATGATAACCCAAACTGTATTAC